ATACTATATGTACAACTTACAATTGTTTAATAAAGCACACATAACTAGCCTGACAGAGGGTTAAAAAAAAAAAAAAAAAAAAAAAAATACTGTAAATTATGTAATATTGTAGATAGTTACTAAACCTCTCAATAAAGATCGAGTCATATGGTATGGTTGCAGGTTAAATAATAATAAAAGATTTTATCATGTGATTCTAACTGGATTGTTAAGGTTCAGTTCGTTATTTTAAACCATTTGACATCCCTACGTGTATCCGATATTATTTTCCGGGTTTCGTAGGAACTTATAAAGTTTATCCTTTAACAATGGAAGATCTGTTGAATTCGGTAGTTTGAATTCCTTAACACTTGCACATGTAAGAACTCTTCATTATGATCTAATCCTGTATATGAAATTCTAAAAAAGGATCTCTCTTTTTCGTTAACCTTAGCTCTTGGACTTTTTGCATGATAACAACCCCAGCGTAAGTTCACGTTTTCGATTATTCAGTTACATAAAACTTTACTAATTTCGTTTTCCTTCCGCAGGTTCGCCATTTGGCACTTGAACGCCTGTTAGGTTATACAGTCAAGTCTTCACAATTTCAGCACATTTTCAGGCGGAATGGCATGAGACCCATCAAGGACTTAAAATTCCTTTGCAAGGATGAGCCGGTGAATAACATTCTCTTTATTTATTGTTTCAACGAATAAGCAAATATAAACTTTGGATGTAATTTTTTTTATAGGTGATCGCGCATGAAGCATTCAAAGCCTTGGTAAATCTAACTGGCGAAGATGATATACGTGAAGAGCTAAATGATGATGATTTTTTGAAATTTTTGATTAAGATAATCACGGTATTCACGTATGCGTAACTCTGATCGGTTGTAATAAAATTGGATCTGTTAACGAACGAACAATTTCAAATTCAGGATCGACATTCCATTCTTGCAGATATGGCGTGTATGCTCTTATCAAACATCACCAAGAATGAAAGAATTTCGGAAAAGATTTTACCAATGGAATCTCAGTCAGTTAAAGGATTATCCAGCTCGAAAAGATCCATAGACCACTTAGTCGATTTATTTGTCAATGGTCTAGATAGATCATATAATCAAGAAGCTGAATTCCATTTCTTGGCTAGTGTGTTTGCAAACATGACCATGGTACGAAAGTCACAGTTGAACCTTCATAAATATCAGGACTAATTAGAACCAACTCTAGTTGTCACAAGGTCGAGAATATTTTCTTAACGAAGCGTCACACGACAATATTGCACCTTTATGTAAGTTGATTATATTCACCGAACATCCCAATATCATTCGAAGAGGTGGTGTTGACTCGTGTATCAAGTAAGCAAGTCAACTTTTTGAAGACAACCAAATTCATTTATTCATTCGGTTTTGTCTCGATTTAGGAATTGCTGTTTTTCAACAAACTATCACCTCGATTTATTGACGGAATCCAGGATAAACTTGCTTCCTTATATCCTTTTGCCTCTTTGTGGCCCTGAAGAATTTGATTTGGATGTGAGTTCGCAATCGATTATAATTTTATTAAATAAGGTATTTAGCATATCGCAAAAAAATTTCTTGAATTGTGTGTAACATTATTTTAGGATATGGAAGGAATGCCCGAAGACATTCAGCTCCTACCTTCCGACAAGGTATTGGAAACATTTATGCAATGAACCGTATGGTTTATATCGTTTAAGTGAATTCACATGAGTATACCATTATTAAATTCACAGAAACGTGAGCCCGATGCACATTTGAGGCAGATCCTCTTGGAATCGCTTGTACTTTTGACCACCACCCGGAGCGGACGGGAAATATTACGCGAGAAAAAAGTTTATCCCGTTGTTCGTCAAATGCATCTCGCCGAAAAAGACGACAGATTGTCAAATGTGATTGATCAGATAGTTAACATGTTAATGAGAGATGATGCGCCCGAAGAACACCATGATGCTGCCCCCAGTTCAGGTGGTTGTCTTAACTCTCAGAAAAATATGCATGATAACGATAATGTTATTGAGGAATTGTAAGTTTGATATGGCAATATTGCGGAAATTTAACACTACCGCAGATACGATTCGTGATTTTATGAATTAAAAGAAATATGAATTAAATTTATTCAATTATTTTAAGAAGATTCTATGCTCAAGATTCCAATAATAGATTAATTAATTACTTGATAATCGATCGTGAAAAGAAATAGATTGTGAATTTACGGGGTCGAGTTAAACCAAATTAAAAAAACTGAGAATGAATTTCTTTTTTTAATATTCAGTTGAGACCAAATGAAAATTTACAACAATGAGAATAATGATACTATATCTACTTTGTCTATAAAAAAAAATTTTTTTTTAAAAAAAAGAAATGAATGTAAAAAGATGGGTATAATAGACTGCATGCATAAAGTTTTTATTATTTATTATTAAAATGGTGACGGATAAATATGATAGCCTTTTCAGAAGGCGCCTTTCCTGTAGTTTCTTCCAATGGGAGTTTGCACTTCTTGATTCTTATTGCGAACATCGCCAGCTTCTCGGTACCTATTGTAAATGCCCGAAGGAGGCACACGAGATGATGGGCTAGGACTCACACTTCTCGCTCTACTAACACTTGTACTCGGTTCTTTAGTATTTGTACTAATCTCTCTTCCTCTAGTATGATCTATACCAAGGTTATCAAACCTCCTGGCACCTACTTCCGGTCGCTGGTGCGACGTTATTCCATCAGAAAGTAAATGCGAATTTAATGTTCGAGAGTGATGCAAACCTCGGGAGCTGTATTTACTCGAATCATAATTCTTATCTGGAGAGGGTTGCCCACCGCTTTGCGCATAGTAGTTTAGATTCCCATTTGAAGGACGATCATGAGCACTGTTTTCTCGACCCTTATTAATAGCAGGGACTTGTAATGACAAGTTCGAGAATGAAGAGTAAACCTTCGATTGCTCTTTTTCATTGCTTCCGCTAAAATTTGACCGAGACGACATATTCTCGTTCCTTTCGGTTAATCGTTTGCGATTGTCTCTAAGGGAGGCGATAGCTAACCTTTCCGTGGATTTCGAACTTGTTTTAGAATCATATAACCAATTGGGAATATCTCCGGATTTTTTCACGTAATATTCCCTCAAAATGCGAGAAATATGGGTCTCTCCTTCCCAGTCTTCTTTTTCGGATTCTAAATACACATTCAAGTTAAATAATACGTACGATTATATATTCTTAACTAGAATCAGGAAGTACGTACCATTTTCAGAATCACCTTCTGCTGCTTTATATGCCGCGGCTGCACTCAGCAATTTATCCCACAGTTTGTAACCCTGAGTAGGTTGAGAAATGCTTAATGTACTATTTCCTATAGTCATTATCGACAGGTGGTAAGCCATACAAATTACTGTTTACTAGTACAGGAAATAATATATTACTTACCATCATTTACGTCCTTCCAGTTACGTACAGATCTAAGCTTACCCCATAAACCTTCGCCTGACTGTTGTCCTTCGCTACTTTCGTTGTCAACCTTCTGTGCGCTAGAATCCTTTTTTGGCATATAGTTCAAAAGAGATTCGTCTGCAATAACTCCACACTTATGGCGCGCGGGATAGAGACCAACATCGTGACCACAATCCTTGCAATGGACTACGATTCGAGAAACTCTGTAATCTATAATTTCTGACATTTGCCGTATCTGTTTTTTATATTCTCTGGCAAAAATTATTTTGTATCCGAGTGTTGGTTTTTTTAAAAGAAAAATAGTTCCTGCGAAGAAAATTGCCTATTACAAAGGACAAGGAAGGCGAAGGTTTCTTATATATGTATAATTGGTTGAAACATTGTTTTTTTATGTAACAAAAGTCTCGGAATTTTGATACATTAACACATAACAGGTAATAAGACCTAGCATTTGGTTAGAGATATGTATTATTATTCCAGTAAAACTTAAATGTTACTGTACCCAATGAATTTTAGAATTATTACGTACTACAATTAAGTCACCAAGTCACATGATTAAAGCACGAATCCAGGCTCACATGGTAAATAGCGCAACCTTTTTGCATTAGTGTCATGTTGCAACTATTACTCAGGAGTAACAAAGAGTTCCACTTAACTGACATAACAGTAGTGATTGCAGAATGTAAACATCTTGTTCAATCTGGTTATTCACTTATTCGAAAATTTCGAGTACATTATAATCAGATGAAACAATATACTCAATCTTTAAAATTTGAATTAATCAGATTTTATATTGTTTCTTATAAATAAATAATATTTACAGAATAAAAGTTATCGGGTAACTTTGAATTTACAATTATACAATCATGGTTAAATATTAATACTTTATATAAGAAATTTTTTTTTCTTAATAGGTTGGCTCAACCAATATCAAGTTTATGAAATTACTCTTTTAAGATTTTTTTACTTATGCACTAAGATACTTCTCAATATTTTAAATACATTATATCAGGATCTACTATTACAATTTAAAATATTGTTTTTATATATCTTAAAAAAAAATTAGTATAAGGAATACTAATAAGAAAGATAAATAATTTTATTAAACAATTTTATTAATATTATTTTATTTAGATAATTATTTAAAAAATTATTTATTCAAAATTAAATAAAATTTATAATTAAGAAAATATTTAAAAACTTATGATAAAATTTTTGTTCTAATTTCAGGATTAATATTTTTTTAAGTATATATTACTTGTTTAGAATGGTACAACTTTTTTAAAAATCAAATTTTTTAAAAAAATCTTTATTTTGATAATTATTTATTTATTAAAATTCTAATAGCTATTAATTATTACTTATAATTTAATTAATTTATTCAATACTATTCATAATTTTATTTAAGATATATGTTTTCTTAACTTTTTTAAAATTGTTTTTATGGAAACCAATTTATTAGATTATATATATATTAATTAAATCAAGACCTGTATATCAATAGTATAGTGAAAGTGCTCCCAGGTCACAATCACAAGATCTATAGTTCAATATCACTTAAGGACCAAAAATTAAAATTACTCTTCTGATCAAATTTATCAGTTATCCTGTGAAAGTCATATCCAATTATTCGAAACAAGCTTTAATTAGGTTAGGCTATATGAAAATGGGACTTTTGGTTTTCCGTTGATCAGAGCTGAGATCTATGATCATATTATTAGAAAGATTGCATGAAGAAAGGCTTCCGATCTAATCTACTATAAATGTTTCACAAGACCTCTTGCCCTGACAAACTTCAGGATATCATTCTTCTAGTTTAAAATATCTCATTATAGTGCTCTGCTTAAATGAAAATCAGTTAAATAAGACTAATTCGATGCCACAGATGGTGACAAAGAAGATAATGTACTCCTTTCTGAGATCTGAGCAAATAATATCTAGGAATATTAAAGGGTAAAACTAAAAATCCCATCAGATATATACTATACAGATTAGTTTAGTGAATATAATAAAAATTTATAAAAAAGCTCAATATTAAATTAACTTATTTCACCATCAATGACTGTGTATTAACTATCCGACCCCTAGCTGGATCTGCCCCATTCACAAAGTAGTTAGTGGATCTACTTAGAGAAAACTATGATAGGTTATCATTAATCTACATGTATATAGAAAATATATAGTTTATATGAAATGATTGATGTGATATCCAGGATTTTATTATCTAAGATGTTAAGTTAATTCTTAATAAAAATACTCACATCTAATACCAGTTGTGGTTTAAAAAAAAATATATTAATTAAATCACTTTTATATTATTCTCTTTAAGCATTTATTAAGTAATTGATACAGATAATAAAGAACATAATTTAGTTACTATATATATATAAATATATTTTAACCTGTAATCAGATTAGTATAACATATCTTTATTATATATACTATATATAAGGATATTTATAAGATATTTTGATTTTCATATACTAACTCACTTATCATTGAAAAACTATTTCTCTAAATACAATTTAAAAAATAATAACATGCACTCTTTTCGCTGATCCTCTGACTACACACAAAAAAGATGTTTGCAAGAAGTTTCTAATACTTCTATGCTAATAAAGTCTTATTACTTTCTTTAAACCAATTCAAAAGTTCTCTTAGAACTCCCTCACCATCTCTTCCCTCTTGTCTATAATCTCCTTTGAATAAACTGAACTCTTGTGGCTTGCAAAGTTTAGCTCCCACCTTTACTACCTATGGCAAGAAAGTTCCTAAAGGGAAAAGGACCAACAGTGAAGTACCTTTCACCTTTTAGTTATGGTGGAGATAACAGAGATTAAAACCAGTTAAAGGACTCAATTTTTCACCCTTTGACTAGTGTTGTGGTTTCTCAAAGCTATCTTTTTCACAGCTTTTTGGAGAATTTTACCTACCCCAGCTTGACCCTGAAATTTCGAGTAGCACGGATCTCACCAACTCTGATTGGTCGATGCAAAACACATTGGACAAGATTGTAAACAAGCTCCTATTGGTCACCTCACGTGTCTGAATGCATTTTCTCAGCCCCCATAAGAACTTGGGGTTCATCATAAGTCATTTTGTCTGGTGCGGGTGGATACAGGACATGGTACCGACACATCATTAGACACAAGAAAAAGTCCATCTGACTATAGTAAAGGTCACAAGATGCTCGATTGATCTTTTCTTAAGTCAGAGCCACCTACATCCTAATTGTATGTCAGGTAGGTTCCAATCTCTACTGCCCGGAAAGTCTAAATCAAAGAAAGCACGGAGCCATTAAGGATGCTCAGTGGTAAAGCTTATGTGCAAAGTAATTCAGGAAGTTTTCGTCCTATCTTCAAAAAATCCCAAGCTGGAAGACTGGAAGGCTAAAGCCGCTTCACCAATTGAAACTCGAGCCTGAAAATGTCAGCAGTGACGTGCGAGCCGGCCAGATAATCTGGGAGATTCTCATTGATCACTAATACCAATGGTTACCAGCAGGGTATGTCTACTGCGAGGCTAGGTGCTGTCCTTTCTATAAGGAATTAAATCTGAAATAAGAGGTACAGATGA